TGGCCACTCCTCTGGCGACATCCCACCAAGGGGGCCCCGGGTGGACACCCGCCCCTGCTAGCTCAGAGCTGGGATGCGATCGACCAGGCATGGCGGCTTTCAACCCGAACGCGTCCCTCCGTCAAGGTCAAGACCCAGGACATAGTTCAACAAGTACTTGGTGATGATAGCGTGCCCTGACTGGGCCACAACAGCCTCTTTAGTAAAATAGCATAGGAACGTGATGAAACAGAGGCTCAGCTCCTTTCTTTATTTTTACTTTAGTTCCGTGATGCCTCTGTGTCCCTCTGACGACATCTCTCCTGGGATCTGTGACTCTGCTGGTCTTCAATGCCTACTGAGAAGGGTTCCTGGCCCTCATCAGGCATGAAAACCTCAAAGCCCTCTGCCCTCAAGGTGGGATCCCTGGGCCAGCGGCATCAACCTCACCAGGAAACCTGTTCTTCTGCTCAATCTTGAGCCCTACCCCAGGCCTATTCAAAGAAAGACTCCAGGGGCAGGGCCTGGCAGCCTGTTTCCACCAGATCTGTGTTAAAGCTCAAATGAACCAGCCCAGGTGATGCTGACGCAGGAAGCGCAAGGCTGAGAGGCAGTGTCTAAGGCAACTGTGCCCATGGGGCCAGGGGCAGCCCCTGCCTGTGCAGCTATGATTAGGTCTGCATTTCCCTCCCTGTCCTGCCAGTTGACCTCAGTGTGGGAGCACTCATCTAAGGCCACCAGGGTATATCCACAAAGCCGTGGTAGCAGACTACATTAAGGCCGGCCCAGCCATTGTGGTCAGTCTCCTGCGCCTTCTCAACGCTCACCCCACACCGCACCAGCCTCCACAGCAGCCCCAGGACTCCGGGACGCTCTCCACGCCCTGGATGCCCTGCTCCTCCTCATCCTGGAAAGGGTAGAAAGAATTGTCCTGCTGGGGGCAGTGGCTCACGCCTGTAATCCCGGGAACTTTGGGAGGCCAAAGCGGGTGGATCACGAGGTCAGGCGATCATCCTGGCTAACCAAGTGAAACCCCGTTTCTACTAAAAATACAAAATTAGCCAAGCGTGGTGGCAGGCGCGTGTAGTTCCAGCTATTCGGGTGGCTGGTAGGAGAATGGCATGAACCCGGGAGGCGGAGCTTGCAGTGAGCAGAGATCAGGCCACTGCACTCCAGCCTGGGTGACAGAGCAAGACTCCCTCAAAAAAAAAAAAAAAAAAAAAAAGTCAGAGGATGCTGCGGGTGGGTGTCGCGCAGACTGGAGAAGTCTGGAACTCTTTGTAGTAAGCGCGATCCTCCTGACCTGTGCGCCTAGGGGTGGGACTGCATGCAGAGCGCCTTGCCACCCTGTGGTCAGGTCCCAGCAGCAGCACCATGCCGGCTGCGGGAGGCGTGGCGGGGGATCCAGGGCACCTTCAGGGAGAGCCAGTCGCGCGCGCCAAGCTCCCTACTTCTCGCTTCTGCGTCCCCAGAGAAGCCTGTCTCTACCTGATATAGCTGGCCTAGACATATGCAGATTTATTAATTGTGGAAGAAAGAATTATCCTTTCAGGTAAAATGGCTACATAAAATAATTAGTTGCTGTTTTTGAGACAAATTCTCACTCTGTCACCCAGGCTGGAGTGCAATAGCACAATCAGAACTCACTGCAGTCTTTATACTCCTGGACTCAAGCAATCCTCCCAACTCAGCCTCCTGAGTAGCTGGAACAACAGGTACACACACACCACGCAAGGCTAATTTTCTTTTCTTTTTTGGTAGAGATAAGGTCTTACTACGTTGCCCAGGCTGATCTCAAACTTCTGGCCTCAAGTGATTTTTCTGCCTTGGCCTTCCAAAGCACGGGATTATAAGTATGGCCACTGTCACCAGCCTTATATCAATTTTTTTTTTTTAATACAGATAGCTTCCCAACTAAAAATATTTTATTAGACTTCTCTTAAGTCAGCAAAGCAGTGTCATTACTGACCCATCTTCCCTTATTTTTAGCTTATGTGCAATAACAAAATTACCTTTATTTTTAAATTTATTTTATATTTTCAAGGTATACAATATGTTGTTTTGAGATACATATACATAATGAAATGATTACTATAATGAAGAAAATTAACAAATAATCATATCACTTATCTGTGCTTGTTTTTATGATAAGAACATCAAAAATCTAGTCCCTCAGAATGTTTCCCCAAAACAAACAAGATTATTGAATATACCTACAGGTTGTACATCAGATTCATTTATTCTACATTACTGTGCCTTTACAACTTTGTCCTTCGTTTACCTAATTTCTTCCCGTCAATGTAAGCACCTTTTTTAATGTATTGAACTTTTAAAAATATATTTCAAATATGAGTGGGGCCATGAAGTATTTTGCTCTGTGTGTCTGTCTTATTTCACTGGAGAAAACTGCCATTTCCATGTCTCCTAAATTTAGTACACAGAAATAGAGTGCTAGTCAAGAATACGTCTGTTTTGTTAGATTATTTTTTCCAAGTTATCCTCTTTATCAATTTTTTTGTACTATAAAAGAGTCAAAATTCTTGTATTAAAAATGTCTGTACCCAGGCTATTGATAGATAACTTTTTTTTTTTTTTTTTTGAGACCGTGTCTTCTCTGTGGCCCAGGCTGGGTGAGGTGATGTGATCTCTTTATATTGAGTGAAACAATAAGAGAACATTTCTGATACGTATTTTCAAAATGTGGAGAATCATTCCTATCTAAATCATTCATTTAAGGGACTAAATATACAGTAAGATGTTTCTTGCCACATAACCTTCAGCTAGCCAGGCTCTGAAAAGGACAACACTGGACACTTTGACAGTGGTAAAAAGCAGCGTTTACTCACTCTGGAATACTAAGAACTGATGATAACCTTAAGCGCACCTTATCTCTTTGGCTGAGGTTCTGCTTTGTTTCATTGAACAAATCTCTTGGGTTATTTTCTGTTGTGCTAGTCATTAATTTGTTTTCTGAATCAAATGATGAGAATAAATATTGTTCTGAATGTAAACAGCATTACCAGATATATCCTACAACTTGGTGTGCCATCTGCCTAATTTTGAACCTATAGGATGGGAATCAAAGCCTTGTGAAAAACACCAGGTGATTTCCTTATAGCCGAATACTCTTGTCCTCCTGCTTTCTTTTGGCTTTCCTGCTGCATGGGTCATGGCAATAAATGGGAGTTTTCTGCACACAGAGAAAAAAATGCCATTGTTGAAGATGTTAGTCTTCTTCTTGACCAACTCCTATATTGGTACAAACATGTGAGAGCAAAGCACCTTCTGAATCATGTCAAATTTATGGTCTTTGTTAAAGCAGGTAAGCTGGTGCCTTAGGAGACGTAGCTATCACATTCTACTATAGAATTTTCCATTCTGTATCATCTGGATTCTTATTTAAAATTTAACTAATTTTGTTCTTCCTACTGCATAAGAATGTTTATACCACTTTATGCTTAGTAAGTTTAAAAGTATATGTCAGTTACAATCAGGACAGTCTCCTTTATTCTAAGTCCTGTTCCTGTTCTCCATCATCTTACATAGGAACCTTCCTCTTTCAATGGTTTATATTATAAAACCTAATTGAGAGTAAACCCTATAAAACCTATGCTACAATTATTTTTAAACCTAACATAACAGTATTATGTTTGATATGAATCTGAAAATCAATTTATTTTTATCTTTTGATAGATATTCATTAGTATGTTCTATCCTATTTTGTTACTTATATTTTGGAAAAGTTTCTTAATGTTAGAATAGTATTACATAACTCCTCTACTTATCTATTTATTCATTTTATTTATTGTGTAATCTATTCTAAAAATTGCACTGGATAATGGTAATATATTAGCAAAGAAGACAAATAGTGGCATTACCCCCTTGGAATTTTCAATCTAGTAGTAATAAGAATAAGAGTTTTCTGAATGTTATAATCTGATATAATAGACTCAGAGAAGATGTAATAGCAGAACAACCCAGCACTGAGAAACTGCTGTTGTATACAGCTGACAATGTGAATTATAATAGGATATTGAGAAATGTAAAGTGTGAGTCAAATCTAAGCTTCGTCAGACTTTAAACGATAATAGTAAGCCACTCCTTCTGTTACTTGCTTTGTAGATAAGATATCCACCACTTCATTGTTTTCTACCCCCCACCTGTTCCCATAACAAGAACACAACTGGTTCTACAGTATGTCAAACTGAAACATAATCGCTGCAAAAACGACAATCAGATTTAAACGGAACTTATACTTGTAGATTTTATTCACTGAAATCGACAAAACAACATAAAAAGTAGCAATGCAAGTGTTAGACCGGCAATGGGGGAGGGGTGACCTGGAGAATCAAACTTTAATCTGGGTATTCGGGATAATTTCTGGAAGCGTGATAAAAAGTGCCCCAGGCTATACGAGACGTTCCTGTAGCGGGCACAGTGTAACTATCACTAAATCCTCTGAATTAAATACTTGAGAAGCGGATGACTTTCACGGTAAGTGAATGAACTCTCACAAACAACGACCAAAAACCACAAGAAAACAAAAACAAACAACAAAACTGACAAAAACAGGCCATTATCGAGAGATTCACTCAGTCACTCTCCACTTATAAAATAATATACTACATGTTACACTTCAACGTGGTATATAACCACATATATGATTACAAAACCATCCAGTATCGAATTACATAGAACTTCAAGAGGGAACCTCACAGG